AAGTCGACGGCACGCGAGGAATTGTTCAGCGTGAGTTCTTTCTCGGTCACTTTCAGGTCGATGGTGACCAAGAACGTGCATTCAGAACAAAGCTCCAACCCACTGAGATGCCTCGAGAAAATTCTATACACCAAAGTGCTTTAAAGCCGATTGTGTGCCACGACAGATTGACTGAATCTGAGCAATTAGAAATAAACGCTTACGTAGCTCTTGTGTTCCAGCCCTACTTCGCTTCGTACTGACCCCTAAATGTACAGGCCTCGCAAGATCCGCTTGGGAGCATCTTCAACGTCTTCCTTTATCAGTCACTAGAAGGCCGCCATTCGTATGGCACAGATGCCGTTCCACAGATGATGATAGTGATCAAAGTGGCCAGACTGAATTTCGGAAAGGGTCTATAGCCACCCGTCAGTGACACTGCTTTAAACCGAAACCTTGTTTTTAGATCGGACCATGGGGCAAAGACATTGTAGTTAAATGGTGTTTTGTCGCGTGTGACACGCACTGCGTGCACTGCGTGCGCTGCGTGCACTACGTGACCTTCAGCACGCCCCTTTTTACTTTTGTGTATAAATTCAGTTGCGAGTCAGCACAACTGAATGGAGATTGCAAGCGATGCCACTGGTCGCCGCCATGCATGTCTGTGCTCGTGCGGACAATCCCGTGCAATTTCAAGCTTGCCAAAGTTATGTTCGCGGGCAAGCTGCGCGTGCCTGCATTCATAGGGCACCAGTTGGGGCGCCATTCTTGCAATTGTCTATAGGGAGTATTCATTGGCAGCCATATCCGTGTGCGCTGCTGCTGAGCGTGTGCTGACGGCGAGCTTCTGCAGTCCCTTTAGAGCGTGCATTTAGCACCATCAAGGTTGCCGGTCTTAGCAGGCTATTAATGTGGGCTCGTTCTGAGCATGCGCTCTAAACATCGCCCTCAAATATGGCGTCCAGTGAATACCTCCTATACTCTGTTCCATTATTAATCGCTGTCAAAGCTGCTGGCACGAGGATGTGCTTGATCTCGTCGATCATTTGCACGCGTTCTCGCGCAAACGAAATCATATATACGAAGCCACGCGCTCGCGACAGTAGCTTTGACAGGTTTGCGGAGTACTGGCGGCGTGCGCAAACTAGAGGGGGCGCTCCTCTAGCTATCATCATCAGCGTTTGTGACGTCACGGGTAGGACAGACTGGGACAGATCGCGCAGGTCTTGGATCCCGCGGTTCGTCCGCTCGCTTTATGAGCTGTTTGCTTAACGCGCGGCAAAATCTGTTTCACGCGTTCTGTTCATTTGGTGAAGTGATATTTGTAGTATAGGACATTTTACCAAAGCTTGAAACGGTTGCACACATAGTCATGCTAGCAAACACTTTTGGCACTAAAGTGTCCAAACGCTCGGATGGTTGTGTGCTGTTCTCTACTTCAGTACGAAAAGCTGGATGATGAAAATAGAATATCCAGTGCTTTATCCCACTACAACTACTACGGTGCATAGGGTGTATTATTTTTTTTATTACGATTCGGAATAAATAAGACTGAGAGAGGACTGCCTCATCAGATAATAAAAAAGGGAAATCAAGAACCTCTCGCGTGTGTAGTAAACACTCCAGTGAAAGCGACTCCGTCTATCCTGAGGGTTCCAATTATTTTGCGAGTGCTGGTTTCTTAGTAGTTTCAGGTTGATTCCTTTTTGAATCTTGTAAACCAGTAAACAAATATTTCCTTAATATAACTGGCGGCCGTAACAAGCGGTGCCTGGTTTCCGTAGTCGTTTCAATTAAATACCTGCTTATTCACCCGGCCGATCCGATCGTGCGACCCCCCCCCCCCCCCCTTCTCGTGATTGAAGACTTAAATCTAGTAAGTCGGTGGCACTTCAGCGTCCCAAATAATCAGGTATACACCTGCTTTAAGTTACTACCGTTCGTATGTTTAAATTTACGGACCCAATGCGCATAATGCGTGATGCGTTGCTCGGCGAGCGATTTTAAATTGGTAAACAATTCTTAGTAAACGCGCTGTGGAACGACTTAAGCTCCTACGCAAACTAGTGAATAATAACTGTGTACTTAATCGGGAAAAATATGTTGGTTTTGTTACTCAATCACGCACTCGAAGCTTCCATCCTTTAAATATTGTACAGAGCCCACCTTAATTGTTTTAAATATTTTTCTTTTCCTCGAACGATAGAAAAGTGGAACAAGATAAATGGATCAGTTCGTTATCTCAATTTTGATAGATTTTTTATTAGAAATACAGAATGTGTTCTGGTATAAATGCCTGTGAGTCTACTGGTCAAGCGTATGTGATTTTTTGTACTCTTTTTTTTAACTATATTGCATTTGTCACGGCTTCCTAAGTTTTGCTTATACATAGGGTTCGGGGTTTTCGGTTTAAACCGATAAAACCGATAAAAGTACGCCGAATCCATTTTCGGAAATTCGGTTTTAACCGAAAAAGGTCGGTTTGTGGGTTCGTCGTTTTCGGTTTAAACCGATAAAAATACATCTAGTCCGTTTTCTAAAATTCGGTTTTAACGGAAAAAGGTCCGTTTTTTAGTGCCGCGTCGAGGTGGGTGGGGGAGGGGGGGGGGGGGGGGGGGAGAGGGCTTTGCAAGGTTCGACATTGTGTAACGTCTTCATGATTGACCTCTTGCAAGGTTCAACATGCAACAAAAGAGGTCTTGGATTGGCCTTCGCGGGACATCGGCTAGTATAAGGTTTTTCGCTTAATGCACTTCAGAGGACATCGAGGAAAGCCGTTAACACCTTTCTTAACACCCTCTTTCAAAGTTCCCTTTGGTTAAAACATAAATACAATGGATTTTTTTTTTTTTTTTGCCATTCCGCTGTTTTTTAAAAAGTACGGTCACCACCTCAGACGGTCACGCCGACAGAATGGTAAGGGAAAAGAAGCGCGCTGAAGCTTATGCCCGCGAATTCCGCGATTTTGATCTGTGTCCTGACGGAAGTTGTTGAGAAGACCACGTATGTACATGTTCCGTTATTCTTTGAGTGATCCCAAATATCACAACTACAAGGATCATCTGATCCGGTGTCCGATGGACGTGGTGTTTTTTAATATTCACCGAAAAAAAAACGGTAAACTTTTTTAAGAATAAATAAACACCGAAAAAAACCGAAATTGGAATTTCGAAATAAACACCGAAAAAAGTACGCCGAATTTGAAAAAAAAAATAAAAACCGAAAACGCGGAATCCTACTTATACAGTATGTACAACCTTGATTGTTGGCCTTTGTGGATGTATATATATGTTTTCTTTCCACTCTTGCGATGAGCTCATCGAGGTCGCAGTATTTTGAAATAAATAAACATATAAATGAATTGGATAGAACAAATTAATCAATCGCCTCGAATTGCCGGGCCATGACGAACAATCAAAGAATTTATGAAAATTTCTGTTTTCTTTTTTTAGAACAGAATTTGTCGCGATGTGACAAACTTCTTTGCTACGTATTCGTCGCGGGAGGAACTATGGGCGTCAGTTGCAGACGAACATTTGCTCGTCAGCAACCGTTGAGTCAGACTTGGATAAAAGTGTCGGTATCGCCAAGCTCAATGTAGCTAAAACGAGTATGCGGCGCTTTGCAACAAAACTGTGCGCGCGTGCAGCGCTAAGAAGACAGCACGTCATTTACTCTGGTGTACGCAAAACCTTTTTGTAAAGCCGCCTCTACACATCCGAAAAAGACAAGAATCAGAGAGGCTGTGTATAGTCCTGACGCACGCCGCGCAAGCTGTACTATGAAGCTTCAGGCTTGTTCTTGAACATTTGAAAGTTTTTCTTATATAAAAATCAACTTTGAGGCGCAGTTATTCATTAGAAAGATCACTCACAAAAAACGTCATACACGTTTCTTTAATAAATACACCGTTTTTAATCGGCACAGATACGGACAAACATATATAGCCACTCCGTGCTTTGACATAGCGCGTCGTCTGCTCGCATGTGGCGCCACCAATACATCTCGTCGCCAGTAGTGTGACTGAATAGGCAATTGGAAGCATGGTGCCCCCGCAGGTGCAGTGGTGCACCATGAGTGCCAGCACGTGCATCTTGCGCGTGAATATAGCTTTGGCAAGCTTGAAATTGCACGGGCTTCTCCACACGAACATAGACATGGCGGCGGCCAGTGCCCTTGCTTGCAATCACCTATCGGGTGTTTTCAAGTTTAAAGTTTTAAAGTTCTAAAGTTTCATCACGCTGACACCTAAGAACAAAATGGCGGATTGACGTCATGTGAAAACAACCTAGAGTCTGACAAAAGTAGCACGTTTTTATTCTTTAATGCCTTGCGCACAACAGTCTCACTCTTGCCGAGCACCGGGATTACGGCACAGACCACCATCGTCGAATGAATAATAGGTATGTCTGGATGTCTGGATATTTAAAAGGTTACCTTGACTAATTGCAAGATGAGATATTCGACCAGTGTGGCATGACTAGTAGAAACCTGGTGTCTTTATCGTGAACCGCAAAGTAATGATCACACGAGTGCAGCTAGGCCGCAATGTAAATCATGTCGTGAATGATTTATGGTGGCTATCTCCAGCGTCACACACTCGCGTGAAAGACCTGTCGACAACGCCAGCGGTGCGCTACGTATAAAGTTATCGTGCAGCGAACTATGCAAGGCTCCAAAATGGCGGCACGGATATGGATGAATTTGAGCGCCACGGCGCGGAGCTTGGGAGTTTCGGTACTCTCTAAACCTATTCAGTATTCAGTGACTCTACGACTGACAAAGAGCGACCCGGAGAGTTGACACAGAAGCTGATTTGCCACAAGATGGTGGCTCATGGCGGCGATTTGAGGCAGCGATGATGAAGACGCACGCATCGCGTGACTTCTGCCGTAAATTCTAGAGCAGTAAACCAAAAAAATACTCGAATAAAGCGAGTTTTATTTCGGCAAAGTAGTAAAGAAATTAAAGGCAGTACTTTGATGGAGTATTCGACGACACCAGGAAATGCTAGACTCGAGGCTATGTCATGGGCCATCGTAACAAAAAACAAAAAATATCGTACTTTCTTGCATTGAGATTATGTGACATATGTGGGAACGTTGCTATTACTGTTCACTTTTTATTGGTCAAACTGATTAAAGAAAAGTCAATGATTTTTGTTCCTCGTTCTTCGCGGGACGATATACGTATACATGCTCTTCTGGGAGTGTGGATTGCGACGTTTTTGAAGAGCACGGGCGGCGCTGTTCATTGTGGCGCCTTGACGACTCCCACGAGCAACATCAAGTCGTCGCCGGGCCGTCGCAGAACGAACAGAAACGGCCGGGTAACCAAGAACTCGGCGTCCGCCTTCATATCTTTCGTCGGGGACGTCGTCTTGTCGTCGGTGGCAACGTTGCCCTGGTCCAGGACAAGTACCGCCTTGTGCACCACGTCGGAGAGGCGGACTCCACCGCCCGGTGCCAGTTTGCTAAAGTCGGCACTGTCCAGGAACGCCTGCTTGACACCTGTTAGGGTTGAACGAAAACTCGATCGAACTTCAAGTCACTCGTCATCATTAACACACACAAACGTTACCCGTAGTGCAGTTTTCTTTTTTTGCGAAGATGCGTTCATGACGTCACACGAGCATTGTAATCGGTCTTGGTAAAAGGACATGATGGTGACTACGCCTGTTCGGCGCCGTGGACCTTTATCGAAACACAAGGCCTTCGGATTAAGTTGTTGTTAACGGATCGTCGACCGGAGAAGCGACTGACGTTGGTATCTTGGTGTCTCCACGCTTTAGCATTGCGCCAGGCCTGATTCACTTTGAACGCGTCAGGAACGCGTTTGCAACGCCGCTGCGAAGTAAACTAGACGGCGTCGGTGAGATATACTTGTTATGGCCCTAGGAGAAAACATGTTTTAGTTTTGAGGTATTGTTGGATGCACCCACTCATGTTAAATGTGAAGCATGCGCAATATGCAGTCCCGAAGTGATTAAACAGGAGTGTGTGATTGTAGACAATGAGGTACACTCTCATAATCTCCTGCATCTACAGTGTCCCGCGATGCGCTCGGAATATCAACCCCTGAAGAAGAGCGAGTGGAAGAGGGGCCCCAAGGTCATGCAGTCTTAGAGGTAAGAAGACGACAGCCCTTTTGCAACTGAGACCGGATAGTCATTGGGGCATGACACGTATTGTTGCCTTTCTCATTTGCTGAACTCGTTAAATAAAGATCCATGATTGGTGTTACTATTGCGTCGCGGTGCCACAACACACGCGGACTCCTGAGAGTGACAAAAAAAATTGGGTTGTGTGTGTGTTTATACAGCCTTGAACTTGGTCTGCCTCACAGGGGCGACGGAACAGCGTGAACCGTGTGTAACTGACCCATCTTGAAGAGGTGCGTGTTAAGGACCACGTGCGAGTCGATCGTCATCTTAGGCAGCTCGACGCGCACAGTCTTCTGGCTGAGGCGCCCCAGGACCGTCTTGAGGAAGGCGGGGGACATCTTGGCCTTGAGCTCCTTCAGCTTGGCCACCCTGTCTGGGAGAAGCAGGAGCAGCGCCGTGTCTCCGCCCTTGTACGGGATCTCGAGCATCTTGGCCGGAGGCTCGGACATCTCTCCGAACAGGAATTGTCCCACGCCGCACACGCCATCCACCTCCACGCGGGTCGACATGGTCGGCGTGAAGCTGAGCTTGTCGGACATCTCCTGAAGCGGTGGCTCCAACAGGCCCTGCGCGTGAGTTCAAAAGAACACCTGTTAAGGCCATTATTCATGTTCGGCGAAGAGGTGATATGGAAGGACTCAACGCATGGATAATCGACCCTTTTCAAAACCGCATGAAGCAACACTGCCGGCCACCATTTCTTGTACAGGAAACCTGTGACTGGATCCCAGCTTACGAACGATGGTGGACTCAGTTGATTGGAGCATAGGCTACTATATGTGGCGCCCACTTTTGAAAAGGTCTATTCCCGACTGAGGAAATAGAAAAGGACAGCGAAACACTGACGTCTCTTTCGAGGCATCAATCGAGTTTTTTCCGAGGCTAGTGGTATAGATCACGAACATGGGGTACTCACTGGACGCCATATATTTGAGGGCGATGTTTAGAGCACATGCTCAGAACGAGCTCGCATTAATAGGCTGCTAAGACCTTCAATTTTGATGGTGCGGATGCAGGTTGCAAAAGAACTGCGGAAGGTCGCCGTCAGCAGGCACTCAGCAGTCGCACTCACAGCAATGGCCGCCAGTGAACACTCGAATAAAACATATTCATCCCCGCTACGGCGGTATACACCTGTCTTTATAGCTATAGGATATTTCTGTAACTCGGGACCCCTCCAGGACAAACTGACAAGCGCGTATCACGTGTGTCGCCTTTCCAGGCAAGATTCACTCTATAGGAAAAAGACAAGCGCCGAAAGACCAGGACAAGGTAAGAAGACGACAACACAAGGCGCAGACCAGGACAAGGTAAGAAGACGACAACACAAGTCTTCTTACCTTGTCCTGGTCTTTCGGCGCTTGTCTTTTTCCATTATGAACCAACTGGCCCAACTCACCATTTTGTTGCAATTCACTCTATAGTTCATCTCTAGATCTCCTTGTGCACTTCGAAGGTACTCTACGAGCCCGTAACGTTCACCCGACGGAATCCAACGTGAGCTCAACGCTTCCCAATGTCGAATCGGCGTTAGTACATCAGCCACTTGAGCGCAAATGGTGTGCAACGGTGATTAGCTCTGAATGGGAAGATGACGGAGGCAATTTGTTGCGCGATCGCCATCGGAACGTGCACTCGGCAGTCGAACCCGACGAACGCGTCGTTCAAATGACATGTCACCATTCCTGCTCCCATCAACAGGCAGAAGCGAGAGAGACACGCTGAGTGGCTCCTGAAACGATGTCATCCGGGCTCTTCGACGCTCGCCCGGACGCTCATAGACGATTCGGTCCTCGTTACTCGAGACGAGTATGGAGCAAACGATCACGTGGAGAGTGCCTGAGCGTCTGCCATCATCTTTCGCTCGAAGGCGTTCGTGAAAGACTTCCGTCTGTTCCCCTTGAGCTTTGGCAACCGTCGTATCGTACAATTTTTCGGATAATGTCGCCAGGACGAGGAAACGCCGACCAGGAAGCTTCAGAAAGAGTGACTTCGATCTCAAGTGCTCGATAAATTGCTGTAACGAGGTTTATGGACGCCATGTGTTCATAAACTTTTGCTACGAAGATTTATTAAAGCTACGGAGATTTATTTGACGTTACTCGGAGTTTATAAGGACCTGTACACGTTTGAGTATTTTAAGAAGCTTATAACAGCTCACAATTAATTTGTATCCTTATACGTCAAGCATCTTTCTTTTTAACGCGAATTGGCATTAAGTTTGTTATCTTTCCAGGTATTTGCCAACACTAACAGCTAGCCTAGTAACCCTGGAGCATGGAAGAAAAAGGAACGGGCAAACATAAAACTCAAAAGACAGCTTGTGACAATTTTTTTTAAAAATTAATATTGAAAAACAGCGGATAGCGGCAGCAATGTTGTGACAGTGTGTGTTTGGAGCTGGCGGGCATGGTGTCGTCATCTCGCAATCTAGGTTGGTTAGGTCACGAGGTCTGCGTATCCAATTTCGCGTGCTAGCTATACGTTCGAAATTCGCACTAATGGTAGAAGCGAAAAGGATCGCAGATCTCCCAGATGAATTTGTGCGTGTGTGGTTTACCGTGAAGTCAAGACAAATGAACGAGTTTGCGTGCTGGTTCAAATGATTTCTCCTATAGGAAAGAGACCTCAATTTAGCGGCCTGCAACTCACACGGAGGTTAAAGTCGTAGCCACGGAAGTATGAAAGTTAACAGAGACAATTGTACGCGTCGGTCGCCTCCCATAGAAGTGCTTGCAATTCATCAAAAAATATAAAGTGGAGGGAAGCAGGAGGATTCAGCGCATCCTGTGCTTTGGCAAATGTGCACTTTTTTTTTTTCCTTTGTGTCGAGTATGGTTCTCCGTTTGATCATCAAACTTTCTCTGGTTTTCTAAACCTCAACTCAGTTTCAACATCCCTCTCCAATTTCAGTCATGGGTGTGTAGGTCCACACTCGTAGCTCGCGATAAATTTTTAAACACCTCCGCTACCTGGCCAGTAGATATCTAAAAGCTGTCCAGAGGCATCTTTTTGTTCCGCAGCCCCGCCGCCTGTAATATTGCAAGGCGAAAAAAAAAATTTTGAAGTTGAACAAATGAACACGGGAAAAAAATCAGCATCAAGTTCCAAATTTGACCACCAAATTTGTGATATTCTATGCAGGGGGCAAGTCGTCTGCTTCTTATCAGGATGTTAGAATGACGCCGAGCTCTTATTGGCCGAAGTTGAAAAAAAAAAAAATAACGGGTAAACCTCAAAGCACCTAGCATTGAGATCTACCCACTATTTTTGTCTATCAGCCAATGAGCACTCGGCGATGTTCTGACTCACCTCAACTCTTGCGCAAAAAGCAGACGACTTGCTCGCCGCATTGCTTTCTTGGCACTTTACAGATGCTCAAGAACGCTGACTTTGTTTCACTCTGTAGACCAATTAACATGCGACATGACGCAGCTGCCTTCGACGCGGCGCACGCGCAGTGCCCACTTGGTATAGGGACTCGTTTGTCTACAGCGTGGTGGTCTATATGATACAGCAAAAGCTACGTATCGTATATGTGGCGGTAGCCGACGGGCGATAGGAAGTATATTTCGCTCTCTTGTGGGTTCGGCGTTAGGACACTAATATACAATCGAGTTACAAGATGAAAGAGTCTCGCTTCTTACTCGGAGTGACGTGATTTGCCGAGCCGAATGGCGTGGTGCTGCAAATCTAAAAAGAAAAAAAGAAAAAAACCGGGGTGCATAGCAGCAGAACGAACCGTGAGATGGCCTTCTAGGAAAACAAGGAGTTTCACTCGGGGAAATGGAGCGTGCTGGTAAAGTGGCGTGTTAGAGGAGAATTACATAAATCGCTCGGGACAGGCCGATACATCTCTCCAACTGGCAGCGCATTGTGCGCTGCCACTTGGAGGGATGTGTCGTCCTGTCCTCGTCATGACTTCAAACACCGTAAGACATTTTAGTAGATCGATTCGACAAGTCCCCTAATGATACTCGAAACACTGCCTGCGCCTTTGCGCGCGCAACGTATTTTAATCGACTATCGTTACTGAGGTTATCGCAACGATCTACTAAAACTCCCTAATATGCATCCACCCGCGTGTTATCGATCTTCACTCGTGAAGTACCGTGCATCACTCAACCACTTTTGGGGTACCTTGGCTCACTCACTTGAATTATTTATTTTTTATATACTTTTCTTTCGCATCCATCGTATCTTTGATTACAATTATTAATTTCCCGAAGAAGCATCGCCTGTACCAATCGCTGCGCGTTGCGGAAGGATAATTGAAGCACGAAGTATAGGAAGTATTCACTGGACGCCATATTTGAGGGCGATGTTTAGGGCGCATGCTCAGAACGAGCTTACATTAATAGCCTGCTAAGACCGGCAATCTTGTGGTGTGGAATTCACGTTGGAAAAGAACTGTGGAAGCTCGCCGTCAGCACGCGCTCAGCAACCACGCACACAGATATGGCCGCCAGTGAATACTCCCTATAGGAGCGTCCTCGTACATATCAACTCCCGCCGAACACGGTCGGAACTGAATGCTTTGGCAGACCTCAAGCAGGCTCTTTTTTCGATGCTACAAACGCTGGTGCAAAACAAGGCACGTGGGGGCTCGAGCGAAATCAATTTCCGAGGACCCGTTAGCGCGCCCGGCGCGAGCTTCAAAGTATCCTTTCGAGTGGCAGCGCGAGCTCCCTATTCCGAAGCGCGATTCCCTAAAGCTCTCCCCAATCAGGCGGAGTCGCGCAGGCGCTCTCGCGGCCGCGCTTGTGGACGGCGCCTCCACTTGCGAAATGAACTCTCGGTGCTGTTCGAGGAGAGCAGCAGCACCCGCGGGCGACGGCAGCACTTGGCCACCGCGCCGTCGTCTCTCGCCCGATCATCGATTGCCGGCGCGGCGTCGGCGTACGCCGTTTCACTGTGCGATGGACTACAGCGGGTGCTACGGGCCGCCCGTTACCGAAACTAGGTAACGAAATAGTCGTCAGTCTGCCAAAAGTAAACGCGGCACTAAAACTTGTTACCATCTTGCAACTTTGCATAATGCGAATTAATTTGTTTGAAGCGAAAACAGAATATTAATTAAAGCTAACGGCTAACGTAATTTGAAAACCTTACCAGTAACGAGGGTATACATACAAGCCGTTACTCCAAACACTGAGTTTACGCTAATCAAAGGCCGCGGGACGCAACCAGGCACGCGTCGACGTGCGGGACGTCAGGTGATGCTTTCCCGACGTCGGATTGGCCGGGATGTCCCGTAGCCTGCTCCGCGGTCCGTGCTAAGCTGGAACGGAGCAACGGCGGCGCACTCGCCCTGAAGTAGAAGGCGCTGGCGAGCATCATCTTGGACGACGGGTCGATGGCGTCGGGACGTAGCAGCCCGGCCAGCCGGCCGCCGGTGGCGTGCGACAGCCAGCCGTTCACGGCGTCCGCAGACGACTCCGGGCTCGTGCGCAGGTCGGTCCGCGTCACGCCGCACCGGAACCGGGACTCCAGGCTCTTCACGAAGTTCTCGTCCAGGTGGACGCCCTTGTCCGTGAACGCCCTGCACCACCGCCAGCCGCCTTGAGGGATACGCGCCTGTATTCGCACAATTACGTTGGACTACGACAGACGGGTTTATGCAGAACGCAAGTTCGTCTGCTTCTTTTGTAGGTGTTGTGGTGACGTCAGAATGTCGAGCACTGAATTCTCTGATTGGCTCCGATTAGAAGGATAGTAGGTGGACCTCCATGCAGCTAGCATTGAGGTCTACCCACTATCCCTCCACCAGAGCCAATAAGAGTTCGGCGTTCTGACGTCACCACAACACCTACAAAAGAAGCAGACGAACTTGCGTTCCGCATAAGCCTCTTGTGACTGCTTAGGACCGGCTGCGCTAATGCGCAGGCAGGCAGTTCTAAGAGGCTTAAGACTGGCGCAGTTGGTAGGAGTCCAGTGTGTGATCCAGCCTCTCCGGTTGTAAGCAGTTGCGATCGTGTGCTCCAGCCTTAAGACGCGCCTGTGACTTCATCACTTCCCTGCTAAACATGAAGACAGCACGGCGAGCACAGGCGCGACACGGAACGCCATTAATAAGTGCGCTGTTTAGAGCACATGCTCATAACGAGCTCGCATTAATACGCTGCTAAGAGCGGCAATTTTCATGGCGTCAAATGCACGTTGCAAAGGAATCTGGCGAAGCTGTCTGTGAGCACGCGCTCGGCAGTCGCGCACACAGCTATGGCTGCAACGAGTACTCCCTTTTCACTGGACGCCATATTTGAGTGCAGCGTTCACATGGGCATGCTCAGAACGTGTTCACAATTATAGGTTCCCAAGAGCGGCAACCTTGATGGTGTGAAATGAATGCTGCAAAAGCTTTCTAGAAGCTCTCAGTCAGCACGCACTGAGCAGCTCAACACTCCGCTATGGTCGCCAATGAATACCCCTTTCGCTCTTTCTTCGTGAGTTGAAACGTGGCGGCGCCAGTGTGCAAATAGCCCTCCACCACCTCACTTCTGAATTGGACGGCGGGTTTCGCAGTATTTTCGAAATCAAATATACACTTTATCTTCTTGAAATGGCCGCTTACGGCACCGTTAGTCTTAATATTCAATCTCATGATTCAATAATGGCGAGTAAAGAAATTAGGAAATATACGTGAAGCTGAAGGTTGCCAGGGCTACCCAATAGATGGTGTCACTGAGTTTGTTGCCAAACAAAAAAATACCGAATCGACCCCTTTCGAAATACTGGCCTCCGTGCGCAGTTGTGGAATACCTGCACAACGGTGGACTAAAATGGCAATGTCATGGCACGCTTTATGCGTTTGGTTGGACTAGAAACCAAAGATCACCCTCAAAAATGGTGGTTAGCGCAGTGGCGCTGCACTTTCGACACCCTTTGACTGGCTTGTCGGCTCCTATGGTTGGCCGCGCTCCGATGTTCGCCATCTTTTGGAATGACTTGCACGTTCCACGATGTCAGTTGTTCCGCCATTGTGCAGTGGTTCCGACCTTCCATTAATCGGCACGTAATGTACGAAAGGGGTCCATACACAGTTTGCGCAAGGGCGCAGCCATCTTGAATGTCGTGCACTTCTTGCATACACGGTAAAACCTCGTTTTGATCTCTTTAAGCCGCTGGAGGGTGTTTACGAAAATTGCGCGATTGTCACAGATTCTAATTTTGTCTTACCTATATTTTTTCGCGTATTCCAAATTGAAAAGTTCTTTTTTTTTTTTTTTTTTTCGCCCTGCAAACCGCATACGGAACCCACATGGCATGAAAACGAGAGGAACCAGAAAACGTGTATAGAAGAATCCCAACGAATGCCATGGTTAGGCCATGGCCGCCTATTGTTCAGCCTGCTCTCTCCGTGTTCTACAGGAAAGTGAACTTACAGCCGTTTGTTTAAAGCGTCACCGAGTGCTTGAAAAACTCAGGACGTGGATTAATACGAGATAAAATGTCTTCTAGGCTGTAAGCATTTTTATGCACCGATGGAATTGACAGGCATTCGAATAATAGTTTGGAATCTCCACTTTCCCTGGAGCAGATGAAATTGGAAGAGCTGCAGTTCCAAGTTGTTTTTGCCTCATCAACCTTACAGCTCGGACCTCGCGCCATCAGACTTTTGGCTGTTTTCCAAGATAAAAGGAGCATCTGAAAGGTACACGGTTTGCGTCGAAGGAGGGCTGCAGTGCGCCGTTGGTTTCTTCAACAGCCGCCTTGAATCATCTACGACGGCATGAGTAGAGTAGTGCACCGATGACGGAAGTGCATCGATCGCCGCCGTTGGGGACTATATTGAAACTGGGAAAGATTCCAAACTTTCATTCGAATAGATTTCGCTTGCATCACCGAACAGAAAAGTTACAGCCTTTATAGGAGGCAAGACTTATTGATCACCCGTTTCGCTCTTCGTCATTCGGCGTCCTGATTGGCTAGTTTTACAGTTTCAAGGAGCGATAATAAGATGCACGGCGCTCGACTTTCCTAAGCTGTATTAGTGGCAGCCGGAATAGTTCCAATGGATATCCCTCTAATTAGTTTAGCCAATCAGAACGGCCACCTGTATTATGCGTGTTGTGCCCAGGGTTCTGTGTTTTCGGGGTTTATTTTTCGTCGAATTCGGAGGGTGTCTCTCGGAGTTTATTCTTGTTTTTGTTTCATTTTTTGTCCCTAATTTAGAGTTTATTTTTCTTGGGTTTTGAATTATTTGAAATTCAGCGTTTAAATTTAGTGCGTTTCTTATTTTTCAAAAATAAAAACATAATTCATATTAAAGTGTAAAAATCTGCTAGACAAAAAGAAACACGCGCTCGTATTTAATAATAATTGTTTAGCTGAGTTTGATGTTGGCGCCCTTGCTATTAACAATACTTATAAGTCCCATGAAGACAAGTTTTGCTTCGATAAGCATCGAAACCTTACAATCACTAAACACCTGGAGGTAGTCGCTGCATGGGAAGCTCGTTTTCATTTAAACTTATTCTACCAGCCTGCTCCGCGGCTGCGAGGAGTGGAATGGCAAAGGGTACAATGCAGATAGAAGCTTTAACGCTCAACTGCACCCTCCCCTTCCCGTTTTGAAATTTGTGTGGTTCATAGCTTCCAGACTGCTACAGAAACAACCACCTCCTTTCTCCAAACCGGAAAATGAGGCCTTCGTCTTGACCTAAAAGTGCGATGACCCGTTGTCCTGACAAGATCAACGGTAAAGCCCATTTTGACAATGATCCAGGATTTGAATGAAAAGTGGAGCAGCATTTTCTCGGGGACCATTGACCCTGTACTCTGAATCTCTGACCAAACATAATCATAAAAAAATTTAGTTTATTATTATGTATTTTTCATTGGAACATCGCATTTTGGGATTTATGAGAAGTTCGAATTGATCGAAATTTTACCGACGAGTGTTTCTCGGGGGGTTTTCGAATTTCTCCGAAAACACGTAATTATAATTGTGCTTCATTGTCCATGCAATTACCGTATGGTCATAGGTGCGTGATATTAGTGGCCCTTCTCATTGGGCAGACTTATCAATGATTGTTTTGCTATAAGAGATGCGCAGGATTTACATAAAACTCCTGCCAGAACGAGCATTTTTAAACTTTACATCAGATGAATGTCCAGTCGCGGGGCACTTGCAGATTTGTCGACGTCTTGCTCTCGCATAGTGAACGCTTAATTTCATTTGTGTTTTGCTTATAAACGTTACTCACTTCTTTAGGCGAAAGTAACGCGTCGTTGTCTTTCCTCCTTATTTATCCTAAGAGTGTTTATTGATTCCATAACTCTTTGAAGCAATCTATAGTCTGTTGCAAGCTAAGAACGAAGTGCGAGCCGCGAGGGTAAGACGGGCCGGGGAGGAGGAAGCAGACAAAACGCTAAAGAGAGAAGGAGGTTTCCCCATCTCTTCTCCAGCGTTCCGTCTGCTTCCTCCTCCCCGGCCCGTCTTATCCTCGCTTTTCGTTCTTAGGTTGCAACGGACTATAATCAACTGTCGTTATGGGTTTTCCCTTCGAAGCTACCCTATACCATATACTCCCACAAAAAAGCGGCAAAAAAAAAAAAATAAAGACGTGTATTTAAAAACACTAAGTGACAAACCAGGATAGATGAATTTACATGAATGAATAGATGCACGGTGGATTTTTTCTTGGATCGGGCGGCGGCTAGCTTGTATTGAATAACCAGACATTATTAGTACCACATTAATTACTTTTTTTGTCAATTTCAGGGCAGTTTCTGCCCATCATTCTTTCTGTTATAACAACCACTTCCTTAACCTTGCCTTCCTCTGTTCTACCCTTCACAAACCCTCCTATTTTGTCTTGACGCCGCCTCGGTGAATCCGAGGCGGAGTGCCGGCCTACGAATCCCCAGGTGGCGGGTTCGAATCGTGCCCGATGTGCGCTCAATTCGACTGAGGCTTATTGCGGAGATGGCGATGCGTAACCGAGATTTCGGTTGCACGTCAAAAGAACCCGATGGGGTCGAAATGAATCCTCAGTCCTCCGCGTTGCAGATGCCCCTCGTTAACTTAACACGCAAAAAAAAAAAAAAAAAAAAAAGAAATGATCGTTTAGGTTTTACAACTGACCCAATCAGTTGTTAAACCTAAACAATCATTTCTTTTTTTTTTTTTTGCGTGTTAAGCTAATCGCTGCGCCCCCTGTCGGTCGGTTGCGGAAAAAGGCGTGCGAACCTGTGGACAAGGCTAACTTCGGCGCCAGCCACGGGCTTGGAGAAGGCCAGCTGTAGCTTGAGGACGGCCGTCTGGAGGTCCGCGCCCTTGGCTGATCCCAGGGCGCTCGTCAGCTGGGATGCTGTCTCGCCCTTCGCGCACGCCGTGGCCGTCGCCAGCGACGACGCCGCGGCGGCCGGGCAGAGCGCAACGGTGGAGTCGCTGCTCGCGATCACTTCCTTGAACAGCGCCAGGCCGAACTTGGTCAGAGCCTCGGACGCCGGGTCGCCCATCTGGTTGGCCGGCTTGCTCACTGAACATGCAGGAAGCCGGCGGCACCAATTCTGTCTGCCATCCGGAAAATTTGGCAGACGCCGGTTTTTTTTCAGCGTCTGGCGGCAGACATGACAGTCGTGGACGAAAAAGCCTAGGCGAGCGCGTTGCTTACAAGGAGCGCCATCTATGGGAAGAAAGCTCAAAACAAGAACTAAAACTTTTACCTGTGTCGGCAATCTGAACTTTTGCTGACCCCCCTGTCTCAAAAGGGGTTAGGTACCGCCAACTAACTAACTAACTAACTAACGTTTAGCGAGGCTTCCGCGGCTTTTCAACTTTTGTCGGTATTACCCGCTTGACTTGCTGCCGCTGAGTAGATGCTGATTTCAGCTTTAACTCAGCGGCAAGTAAAGTTAAGCGTGGTCGAGACCACCGGGTCGGCATCTTGAACGGTCTTGGAATGGAGAGCGTGCTGGTAAGGGTAATATAAATAAAGGGGAGAACATAAAAGACAAGGACGAAGCGTCTTGTCCGTCCTTGTCTTTTATGTTCTTCCCTTTACATTGAACGATCCGTTTTCGGACGTTTGATAATAGGCTCGAGAGATGAATGACGGGATAAACGGGTTTTACTTTGTTTCGCCAAGCAGTACAACTATCGGTGCTGATTCAACGATTGTTTCTTGACCAAGTGGGAAGCAACGACAAATATAGAACAGCCGCTGAGACGCCGCTCGTTCACACAAGCCTCGATGATAGATCTCAGCTTTCTTAACCCGGGGCCACACTGCTTATACATCATACAAACGATAGCCTGCCAGGCATCAGTCATCAGAATATCCGTGGTTTGAACGCCGCGTGCCAAGCTTCCTTTTTGAACTCGTTGCCACGCGGCATTTGAGGCATACATCTCGTGGTGATTTGCATTCGAATCTGTTTGCAGACTGTCTTTTGTATGATGGGCAATAGGTATGATGTATAAGCAGTGTGACACCGTATGTAGATAGCACTTAAGAGCCACGCGTTGGCCCTGGGCCTTTTCATATTGTCCTACACGTTACTGAGTAACTAAATACCATTACTCGCTAGTCACTCAAATTAGCAACTAAGTACGCTACTCGCTACTGCTATTCAAAGGAAGCCCGTTACCTCAGCTTGAAAGTAATGCGTTTTTGTCTCGTTACTCTCAATATGTCACTATTAGGAAGCGCTAGCCACTTCCAATATTTATCGTCGTTATTAATTCCGTGCTTTTTAACGAGTTAATTCAGGGATACTGCGGCTGTACACAGATACCTTGTCCACATTTGTTTATGGTCTATCTAGCGTTTTCCGTCCTGCAAATTGCAGGCGCAAGCTAGCGTGAGGACTAGGTTGCGTGCTTGTGTGGTACACGTTCCGCTCCTGAAACAGGTAAATACCGTAACATCAAAAAGTAACGAAAACACTTTACTCGCTCCTTCTCTCGAAAAGTAACTAGGTCGTTACCTCGTTACCCAAAAAGTAACTAACGCGCTACTCGTAACGCGTTCTGATCGGCAATGACCACCAGGAGAAGTGTCGGATACACCGGTTCGCTCTGCGATAACAGCTGACATTCATCTAGTTCCGTGAACGCTCCTTCGCTCCTGGTTCGAAATCACCCATCCGGCAAATCTGGCGGATGCCGGTTCGCAGAGTGGTCGCAACCGCTCGGCAAGTGTGACAGAGACGTGCTGCTTCGGGCCGCGTGCACGACCACCATCCAGTACACTTGGCATGCGCTGAAATCCTTTCAGCATTAAAGGCTGAACCGCATGTAACCAATATAGCGAGCGACGAGGCGAGCGACAGCAACAAGCGACGAAAGTCGGTGACGAGCGACGGAGATTTCTTGCTATCGCTCGTCCCACCGTCGCTCGGCTTATGGATTTCTAGAAAACGTCACTCATCGCCTTGGTCGCTCGCTCCCTTCGCTTTCGTACGGTTCGCCTCGTCGCACGACTGACCGAGCGACGGTGAAACGGGTCGCCGTCGCTTGTCTCGTCGCTCTCCAAATCGCTGACATGCGGTTTATATACTTAAAAATGGTTTCACGATCAGGTTTCGACCCTTCAGGAAAAGAAGCCAGGTCTCCTTGGAGGAATCGCCACATCTGGCGATCTCTCCGTAGGTGAGATGAGCATCTTAGCCCTTTGCATCGGGCAGCGGCTAGCGCGACATCAGGGATTGCCCGCGAACTCCTTAGCGGTGGTGGAGTGTTGCGCTGCAAAGCTTGCAGGGGGCCACAGAAGTCAACCGAACAAAGCTTTGTATTGTTTGTTTTGAAGCATGCATTAAACTGTCGTTAAATCGGTTCAAATCTAGTTGATGCTGTGCTACTTAGTAAAGGCAGCTCTTTACTGTTTAGCTTGTACTGGCTGTGCTAGCTTATATTTTGGCACTCCTGCACAGGGGTGTAGTACCCCTGCTTCCCCCCCCCCCCCCTCACTAAAACAAAAAAAAAACTTTTTTTCTTTTAACTTGGCAGCAATCTTCCCCTTTAAAGTCATATGATGCGTGAAATGCAGTGATTAAGAAGTAATAACTTTCAGTTGTTTAGAAGGCTATATATCTTGAATAGTATAGGTCACGTCACGTCGTGTCACGTAAAGTATACATTCCGCTAAATTTAGCGGGGAAACTGATTTGGTGTATAGGTCATGTGGCGTCAATCTTTCCGCAAAATTTAGCGGGGAAACTGAATTTGCCTATAGGTCCAGTGACGTCAGGCCACGTGACATCATATTTCCCGATAAATTTAGCGGGAAAACTGAATTCGTTTCATGGGTCACGTGACATCAATTTTCCCTTTAAATTTAGCGGGAAACACACGGACGGACGGACGGACAAAGTTTTGGGATTGGGGGGTAGCGTTAAAAAAGCATTTCGTGCTTTAAAAACTTTTCTCGTTACTTAATTCAGAAGCCACTAAAGCATGTTACTTGCTTCCTTTTGCAAAAAAAAAAAAAAAAAAAAAAATTTGCGAAATTAATATATTTTTTTTATTGATACAAGTAGCTACAACGAAGTGACCGGCTATGGTTCTGAAACCCCAATCACGCTGAGGATGTCAAATATTCGCGACCTTGTGGCAGCGTTAAGTTTGAGTAGGAGAAGCACTGCGCTTCCGATACCTCCTATAATATCTACGTATTCGTGGTCCTGGCTTCCTACCTAGCCATCGTAGACCTAGCGTAGTTCAACCTGACTCGCGGATGTTTTATGTGTCCAGTTTCAAGCATCGGGCAGGCGCCGACTCTAACAGTGGTAACAGCTAAAACCATTAAAAAAAATGTAAAAAAAAACTCGCTTTTTTATTTATTTTTTTTTTATTTGAGCATGCACCAACGAGGCAACATATCAAAAGCCGGATTCCCACCGATGGGTTCAGCTTCTTGTTTTTTCAACGTCAGCAACGATTCAACAACCGATACAAGACTACTTTCTCTTTTCTGCTCCACTGTTTTATCACGCCACTGTTTTGCTTCCTCTCCTTGTCGTTACTACTGTAGACGGCAGCACGTTCAGCGCGTGTAACTATACTCGTATAGCATGTACCTTGGTGCTTCGGAAATTTAGCAAAAGCTCTATTAAAGGCGCCTTGCAACAACTTTTTGACTGGTTTTTAATTTGCACCGATCCTGAGCGCACTGAACGTAGTAACTTAATGAAACTTTTATTTTCTCAAATTTCACTTTATTTTAAAAGTTATAGGCAAATTAGGATTACAAGAACAAGCAGAAAATAACCTCCTTCATGACGTCGTAGGTCATGGCTTGAGTGGCCCTGAACTAGAGGAGGAATAGTGAGCTCATCGAGCGCTCACGGCCGCCGCACTCCGTGTCGATGGCTCGAGAGGGCGCCACTAAAGCACGTGTTGGATAGGCTGTATGAAGCGGGCGGCCAGGGCGGCTCGCATTGCATTTGCTGCGCGATTAAAGACTAATTCGGCATAACATTTCATTGGCCACAAACGACAGCAAACACGGGATAAATATCAGTTTAGAACGGGAGCCACTTCGCGCTGCCATACCGCCAAATGGCAAAATCGCCAGCCAAGCCCACGCCGAAAGCCTTCGGAACGCTCGGAACCGGTCGGATCCTCGAGCCGGTATACGACCGCAGCGCTGCCGCGTACATCCGGTACCTCTCTACGCTCGCCGTTCGTGGGTGCCTCATCCCACGAGCCCTTTCTAGTATGCGCCGTTTTTTCCGCCGCTTGGTGGCGGGTATGTCGACGGGTCATTTCTTGTTTCCGTACTTTATAAACTGCCCTTATTTCTTTTCTGATCTAAAATACTGAACAAAAGCTACTTTCATACATAATTGAAACGGTTCGCGAGACTTATATTTTGTATCTCGACTAAAAAAAAAAATATTGTAGTGGTTTTGACCTTTAGTAAGCCCAGGATTAAAGACGTCACATATCGCGTGCTTTTGGCAACGCGGGTCGCCCTCGTAGGTGGAGGAGGTTTCCGCGTCGTCCGGTTAAAATATGACGCACTGATATTTAGTTACTCTCTCCGTGCCCGCTGGCTTGCCCCAACCCCAAGAGACGTGGAAACCGCAAGAAAGGTAGACGCCTAAATAGGATTGCAGGGCCCCTTTAGGACGCAGTATACTTCCGCGTGCTATCAATACCCGACCGGTTGTGTCAAGGCAATCCACTAAAGTGTCGTTGCCATGCCGACAATTTCCGCATTCATTTAGGCTTAAGAATGGCCAGAATCCAAAGACTATTAAACAAATGCGGCGAGGTCATTGATTATGTTTTGCAATTTAAATGAGGTAAGGCAAAGCGAAAGCCTCCTGCACCATCGATTGCTGACAAACGCGCCCGATATTGCAGCTACTACGGCATATTAGTTCCAAAGCGAGCGACGCTCACTTGCAGAGGAAATCGCCATGTTTTCCAGCCGTCCTTACTCTGCCGGTCACGTGACCTAAAATTTCGCCTCGTAGGGAAATGGTGGTGTTGGTGTGTCTCTCCGGCGTTGTGTGAACGGATTAGGGGAGGAGGGAGAGGGGGACAGCTTATCGGAAGGAGAAGGTAATGAAGGGGGCGTGAAAACGATGGAGGAAGAAAGAGAGAGACGAGGCGGCGGCGTCATTTGCCCCACTTGTCCAGAGTAGCCGACCAATACCAGATAGAAGACAAGGCCTGCTCTTCCCCCACCCTCCCCTTCTACCCAAACGTCACTAATGGTGTATCCACGCGGCGTCGCCAAGGCGGACTTAAGGACTCCCGTCGAGCTCCCGCGCGTCTTGGGAGTGGGATCCACTAATGATGACGTCATACGCCGGCCTTGTTCTTCCAGCTGGTAGTGGCCCCGCCACCACTTGCGTCGGGCCTCGTCCATCACGGCCGCTTTTGGCGCCCAACGCGGGGTGAGAGGGCGAGGAGGGTCAGCGGAGAAACGCAGGGGAGGGAAACAAGTTGTTGGTGTGTACGGCGCCCTCCGGTTTTACGATACATTTCTCACTCAGTCGGCGCTCTGTTCCAGCTTCTTTTGTTGTTTGTCTCGTCCGCTGTTTCTTTGTTTCTTCGTTTGGAGCGTCGGATTTGTTGGCCCCGCTGAACCGCAGTTTTCACAGCCGATTGAAATGGGAGAAGTTTGTTGGATATCTCGATCGACACAGGAGCGTTAAGGATGACTGGAGTCGAGATTGCTATACCGGGTGATCAGAGTGATATCTACGATGGAGGACCACGTGTCGGAAAGTGTGTTATGTCGATCTTAAGAAAGGAGTTTATCCGCGAATAAACGTTTTAGAGAAAATTCTAATGTATCCACTCGCACACACACACGCATGCAAATTGTACACGTACGTGCGCAGTGTTGGATAAAGTATATCTAAAAAAGAACTTGGAGTAAAGTACAAAGTAAATGAGAGGTCATGTGTACTTCATGTAAGTACACCGGACGCAATGCAGTTGAAGTAAAATACCAGAAATTGAATGTAGGTTTAAAGAAAAGTACAAGTACTTTTTAACGCAAACTTTCATGGTTCCCTTTCATTCGGGATCCGAACAAAATATGGACCCAGACAAAATGGTCCCGAGCGCAAAGCCGGACCAAATGGTCTTAGCGAAATGGTCCTAGGCAAATTTTGAGGCATAGTTTGCTTGCTCTCCGCGGGTTAGTCGATTGCTTGTACTTCCTGTAAATTGAATATAGAAAAGAAAAGAAAAAAAATGTTTTTCTGAATACTCAAGAAACGTTATTCATTTTAGACTTTATATATTCAGTTCAAAACACGTTGCATTATGCCAGTAGCTGAGCCTAGAAGAAAGAAAAAGTATACTGTAAAAATAATATACAAGTGCATTTATCGAATAATATGTGGCTATAATATTTGACATATTCAGCGCGAGAAGAAAACCGTTGTACCATAACACGCCATCACACACACACAGACACACAAAATATAAAGTTTCATGTTTATAGAGCGTAAGGTACGTAAGCCCGCCTTTGAGGAGCAGCGACACTGGTTTACGCTGTAGTATAGAAAGTTTATCATTGCAGTACCGCAGCTAGCGTGCGGTCTTTGAAGTGCATCACGCAGTGTCGATACACGACCACACTGATGCCATCACAAAATATGTAGTATGTGGCATGATAGTGTCTGATGCATCATGTGCATGCGTTTTCTTGCAGCGCCATTACCCCTACTACGTTTTACTAAAGTCACAGTGCAGCCGACGCTACGGGCTGAGAGGACCAATCATGCAGTGCTGAAAACAAAGCGTATTAATTGTAAAAATAGTCAGAGTGCAGGCGAGCTGGTGTAGGTTGAACATGATTGTAAACCTGAGACATGGGGCAGAAAAGAGAACACAACACGAGGTAGTAAAAAAGGAGGCAACGTCTCAAGGAGGCAACCTTGAGACGTTGCCTCCTCTTTTTCTACCTTCTGTTGTGTTCTCTTTTCTGCCCCATGTCTCAGGTTTACAATCATGTATTAATTGTGTTTGGCGACTTTTTGGGCATGTTATTACCGGCTGGTCCTTGCGCTTTTAGTGTGCGCGTGTGTATTTGTCTAGTGACTTCCAAGCTCCTGCTTCGCACAGCGCTGACACACTGAAATTAACTTTTGGGCTTTTTTAATCCTTTCCCAAAATATATCACAAAAACCTTAAATACATCAAAATATACAGTACACATATGTTGAATAAAGTTTCAATGTAGCAGTTCACTAAAATTTCAAAGAGCGTTGAAAGTGTCATCACATCACTGACGACCAAGGAGCCTGCGGCAAGACACGTTTTATTGACGCACAGTTGCGGATGCAAGAAGGCAAGGAACACTGTTTGCCTGCTTGTATATTCACCGTCGCAGAAGGTGGCGACAAGGCTTTGCCTCTTTTGAAAGCATCAAGTTTTAACGTCCATATTTCGAAAGGCGATGTAGCAGCCAGAGGCGCCTGGTGTGCAGAAATGTCTGAAACCGCTATCAAGCGAAGGATGACGGATCTTCTGGAACCGATCAAAGCGGAAGATGCACGAAGAGGACCTCAGCTTTGCCCTGATGTGTGGAGGAGATACCACCTTACAACAGAGGACGGTCGTATCATACGAGCTCCTTTCAAGACGCGGTCAATAGAGGAACGCTACTGCTACAACTGCGCAGGCCAAGGCCACCTTGGTCACCAATGCCACATGAAGAAGAGGGGCAATCCAGGTACGGCCTTCTTCATTTCTTACGACGCCCCTCGCGAGTCTCAACATCAGAGTATAACAGTCAGAAGGAAAGTGGCGAGCCCCACCGAACAAGCAAAAAGGAGGCAAGGGCAGCCGCAAACCGGTGCACAGCGAAGGCGCGTCGGCAAGAAGACAACTGAGGGAACGACCTCACCACAATACGAATCCCCAGCACCAAAACAACGACGGAAGCTACGACAACAAACCTTCCGTGAGCAACGGCGGAGGCTTGAGAAAGAAGAAAAAGAACAAGAAGTCGCACTGCAGCGGAAAATCGATGCGGCTTTCTAACGACGCCTACCGCATTGAGGATATACTTGGCCACAAGCGGATTCAACGTTTCTACACGTCGACAGCTCCCGTCGACAAGCTGAAACGACTCAACATATTTTATGTTGACATTGAATAAGAAACATCAAGTGAGGACATTTGAATTTCAGGATGGCCGAGTGTTAGCGCTCTCGCAAAAGAAGACGACTGACCCCAAGCTCGCAACACCCGTCGTGTGGCGCACTGCTCTTTTTTCTGGGCAGGCGTACCCGCCAGACGTGTATTAAACGCAGCCTTTTAAACCTTCACTGTTCCCCGTTTCCCATGTCGAGGCTCTAACACATGCTTCTTCTTACATATACTTACACTTAAATCTCCCCTTTCTATTCTTGACAGACTTGTGCCTATCTCAAATACTCTACTCAAGATACTGTATTTCAAATACTTTTTGAAGTATCTTTGTATCTTGGTATACATTTCTGAGTGTCCTGTACTCATTATCTCAAATACATTTTTGACACTCCGCCATTTGCCTAGCTTTTCGGTATGAAGTGGCGTGGGCGTGGCACGAGCAAACGTGAACACTGTTTCGAGCAACCAAATCTTGTTGATAGCTCCGATTAGCTACGATGACTTAGATTGAGCTCGTGAAAAGATCGCTTTCGAGCCGATTGCGCCTCATATTTCACCCAAAAGCTCGTACAACAAAGGTTTTTTTTTCCCTCGCCTTCCCAAAGGCACCTTTTGTTTCCCAGAGTTTCTCCCAAAAATCCTCAAAGAAAAGGGATGGTTTTACGGAAGTAAAGATTGCCACAAAGAACGGGAAGCAACCCACGACAGCAATGCAGATTGAGTGTCAAGGAAAGACCAAATAAAAAACAATGAGAAATAAACACAAAAATAATTTTTTTTTGTTGCTTGTATATTTGATTTTGGTACGGCAAAAAGTCAAGGTTTTTTCTTTCTTCTTTTTGTCATCAGTCTGGCACTTATTGCTCTTGCGAACACAGTCTGTAAGTGAACATTGATAAGCAGAGAACAGGACAAGAAACGAACTACAAGCAGGATGACCTCTCAAAATGACAAGAAAGTGTCCCCCAAAGTTGAGAGCCTTTCTGAACGGAACCTACTTGGAGAAGGTGCGAGTCGACCACTGCCGTGGCTATTATGTGTGCTCTCTTTGTTATCCATTCACTCATTTCCGTATCCGAAGCTCGTTTATAGTGATTTCCCCATATAGGGAATATGGATTGTAGTTAAACGATGCGCCTAAGGTGTGCCGCAGGACGTGATATTCAACAATTTCATTATAACTGAATTTGTTTTTGGCCCAGAAATGATTTTTGACAAGTATCAGTGATATCCTGCTCCTTATATGGTTAGACTGCACAAAATAACCCTACGTTTTTGTTTTGTTTTTCAGATTTATGTTGTTGCGTGCTAATAAACCATTCTGGTAAACCAGATTTGCGCAGCTGTATAATTGAGTTTGTAACTGACGTCAATACCAACTGTGCAATGCGGAAGTATCTTCAAAAGTAATTGAATTACATTTCTATGTATTTGTACTCTACTCAAAATACTTTACAGTGAAAGTAACTTGAGGAGTATTTTAAATGCTTTATGAAGCAGGTATTTAGTAACTTAAATACTTTTATTGAGTATCTTGTCCACCTCTGATTCTTGCACACAGTTTTTCCAATTTTTGAGGCGCTGAGAGTAGTACCGGTACTACATGTTTTTCGCCCACTTTCTTCAGACTATGGCTAAATTTGTGTACATATGGTATCACGGTCGGTCTAACATTCCACCTGACCTTCCCACTACCATTTCTCTCTCTCCCCCCCCCCCCCCCCTGAAGTTTCGTAACAATCCTTCTGTCACATGTTTAGTGAGCGTAAGTGGGTACCTTCCATCTGTAATTTCTTCACCTGTATACCAAAGCCCTCCGCTATTTTGTGTGAGCACGACTTAGTCAGCAAGGCTCCCAAGCACGTAGTGGCAATACATCTCTTAATATTTTTAGTGGTTTGAGTCGTAGGGTAACACCGCTTTGCTTGCTCTGGTAGTACCCACACAAAATAGAGGACGGCTTTGGTATACAGGTGAAGAAACTAGAGGATGGAGCGTACCCACTTGCGCTTATTAAACATGTGTCAGAAGGATTGTTACGAAAACTTGGGGGAAGGGGAAAGGGTGGTGGGAAAGTCAGGTAGCAACGGTAAGAAAGAGGTAGTGACTGCTGCAGTCACTTGCTTTTTACTAGCTATTTTTTTTTAAGATTGTTATATTGTCAAAACAGAACTCGACGTTGTAGATGCTTGTGGGATTTATATCAGAAGAAAACACTTGTCAGCAAGAAAGCGAGTATTGTTTTAGAGCGCAGCTCTTAGGAGCCCGTTTCCGGCTTGAGCGGCGTCGGCGTCGCCGTCGGCGTAACCGCGCGGTGCATCATGGGAAATGTCCCATAATGCACCGCGCGAGCCCCCCCACCGGGGTCACGTGACCTCCCACGAGGTCACGTGACCCCGGTGGGGGGCTCGCGCGGTGCATTATGGGGGTCACGTGACCTCCCACGAGGTCACGTGACCCCGGTGGGGGGCTCGCGCGGTGCATTATGGGACATTTCCCATGATGCACCGCGCGGTCACGTGACCTCGGGGGGTCACGTGACCCCCCCCCGTGGTCACGTGACCCCCCGCAGTCACGTGACCCCCTCCTCGAGGTCACGTGACCCCCTCCTCGAGGTCACGTGACCCCCACCGATGTCGCGTGACCCCCCGATGACGTCATCGTCACTGATGACGTCACCGGCATCCACATCGTCATCATCACTGATGACGTCATCATCACTGATGACGTCACCGGCATCCATATCGTCATCATCATTGATGACGTCACCGGCATCCACATCGTCATCATCACTGATGACGTCACCGGCACCCACATCGTCATCATCACTGATGACGTCACCGGCATCCGCATCGTCATCATCACTGATGACGTTTTTTTCTTGCAAGTTTGTTTTTACTGGAATAGATGCTACAAGCATCCACAATATAATTTCTCGTTTTGGCAATATTAGGCGCAGGTGGACGTCGGCTTATAAAAGAATTTCGTTTTCCTCAATTATCTTTTTATCCAGGTAACATCATGTTCTCGAACTTTCTCGTTCTGCCTCAACCGCTATAGTGTCATATTCTCTCGGAGTTCGAGCATTCTGCGATGCCTAATTCATTTACCCAGGCCAAAAAACACGGTTCTCTTTTCTCGGGCACTTCCTGTACTTCAAGTAAAGTACAAGTTTTCTAACCCTCTTGGAAGTAGTACTTTAAGTTCAATGTAATTAAAGTGCTTCCAAACACTAAACTGTATGGACTGAGCGCACCCACTGCAGTTTATTTTTAATTTTTCCTTCACATCCGCACGGTTAAGATTGCAGCCATTAAGGTGTTCAGATGACAGCACCGAGGTAGGCCGTAAACATATCGACAACCGCATTGTTGCAACCGCATTGTTGTTCCGCAAATTTGCGGAACAACAATGTTCCGGAAATGGCTGTCAGAAGAGCCACAATGCCGCGTTCTCCCTATGTTGTCGCGCAGTGAATGCATTGTCCGGATGCACGATAAATAATTCCGTCGATTGGTTGTGCCACCAAAAGGGCAAAGTTTCTCACGCCAGTAGCGAAGGCCGCCTCCTCAGCCGGCCTAACTGTGTTACGAAATGAGCTAATATGTGGGCGACAGTTTGACAGCCTGTGGCGCGCTCTTCTATGAGCCAGTGTCGGCTCCGGCGTTGCTGGGCTATAAACGGGCGGCTGTTTCCACACTCCACAAGTTCGTCGAGGTGCTTGTTGTGGCCTAGAGTCACTGAATACGTAAGATTATCGCACTCCAATCAATCCTGTGGTCTACGCCATTTTGGTGCCTCGTGCGGACCGGTCGCATATGGCCATAGTTGCCATCCCGAGATGCATACCTTTAGCTATTCGCAACTCCAGCGCGCCGCTCGCCCTCCCGCGGACGAACGGAGAACCAGAGGACCGGGGACAGCAGCGGCGGCGGCGGCGCGGAAACGGTGGCAGGGACTGTCGGCCTTGATGCGCAAAGCCGTTTTAACGAACAAAAGTGAGCGCGTTAAAAAAGGAATTCTTCTGCTCCGCCTTGAAACAGCGTTGCACGAAGGACCGGGATGTCTAATTTCATTAGGGACTTTTCGTGTATCGCATACGCTGCGGATTTCTGGTCTTGTGCATGGCCGCCAGCTCAATCTGTGCTCAACGTGACGGAAAACGCTACCGTTAATAATGAAGAACTCTATAGTACGGTCTACGAAAAGTCTATTCTTTGCCATAAGTAGGAGGAAACTCGTCGCGCAACGGTATGTCGAGCAACACAAATCGGGAATGGGTTCGTGTTTGAAGGCCGTTACAAGGAACATGACTATTTATTCAAAGCACTTTAAAAAGGCAGAATACCCGTACTTGCTTTCAGGTAATTACAAAGCAAATAAAGAAATGCTCGAAGCATTTTAAGTGCGTCTGTGTTAGCCAGCCGTTCGTGACGAGAGCTTAGAACGCTCAGTTTTGGCCAGAGGGGCCGCAATGTTGCCAATAACACGGTACAAAAAATGTACGGTAAATTAAAATATTTATTTGTAATAGAGCAATAAATAAAACCCCTAAACACGCCGATTATGTTAATAGGCAGTATTCGCATATCGTACGACACCCCTAAACTTCAGTCAGACGTACAGCGCACTGGCGTTCAACCGGCGCTACCAACTTTCACGAGCGGCTTGAAAGCCGAGTTGTGCAACTTATTAAAATAGTTTAAGTAAATGTAAATGACCGCAAAAAAAAAAAAAAAAGAAGTAATCTTTTTTTTCTTTTTTGCCCTACTGCAGAACCTCGGTGTTTCTTTTTGTTGTTTTTTTCGGTACTTTTTGATGCGTACTTCAGCTGTTTAATATCTTATATTGCGCCGTCGTCAAGCCTCTCGTAAAAGTTGGGGGCGTCAGTTTGACGTCAGTGGGCTGCACGGCGACCTGAAGTTTGAGGTGTCGAATATGTGAAAAGGGGTGTAAAAACTACATTTTTTCTTTATAGTGATGAGCACGGCAACGCTCCTGAGCGCA